TACATGAAGTTGTCAGTAAAAAGTGATGGGGAGATATGGGAGGAGTTGGAGGGTAGGGAGTGGGCATGATTTGATCAAAATGCCTTATATGCATGTATTAAAAGCAAGTTAAGGGGGAAAGGGTTTATTTGGGCTCACAGTTCCAGAGGGAGAGTCCATCATGGCAGGGAAGGCACGACAGCGGGAGAAGGATGGCGGCAGGAGCCGGAGGTGGACTGGTCATGCTGCATCCACACTCAGGAAGTAGACAATGAACAGGGAGTTGAGTTGGTCTCCAGACCCATCTGCAGTGGCCCACTTCCTCTAGCAGGACTCTGCCCCCTAAAGTTTCCCCAACCTTCCCAAACAGACCCACCAGCTGGGAACCAAGTATTCAAACACATGAGCCTAGAAGGGACATTCCACACCCAAACCACAGCTGACTCCTTCTTAGTGCACAGTTCTCCATGATATATTGAAAGACAACTGTGCACAGGGCAAAGAAACAGGGAAAAGATTAAGGGAGAGCCCAGCCACATTCAGAATCACACCACCCTTCCAGAGGGTGAACACTCAAGTGCCCTGAACACCACATATCCCTTTCAGTGGAGAAAATGAGCAGGAATCCAGAAAAACGACCTCCAGAGGGGGATGTTGAGCAAGATCTTGAATGTTGAATGGGAAATAGTGGTTAATGCCAAGAGATATGATTGGATGACAAAACAATATCAGCCTATCAGAAAGTCCTGCAGCCAACAGGCCTGATTAAGGTGGCCAAAGGAGGGTGGGGCTGTGTTGTCTTAATTAAGAATATGTTTTAAGTATTTAATTGGCACGTAATGATTGGACGTATTTCTAGGATACAGTAGGACATCTCAATGCACGTGTGCCATGTGTAACGATCAGATTAGGGTCATTGTCATAACCGCCTCAAACATGGATCGTTATTTGAGTTAAGAACACTCAAACCCCTCTCTCCAGCAGTGTGGAAACATGTCATTCATTGTTGTCAAACATAGTTTTCCTAGCATGCTATGGGACATTACAAGATATTCCTCCTCAGGTGGAGATGTGACTCAATAATAAAGCACTTGCCTAGCATATACCAGGCCCTGGATTCAAACCCCTGCACAAACAGCAAAAATAATAATTAGTCCTCACTTCTCATATCTAACTGTACCCATGTTGTCTTTGGCCCAAAGTCATAAATATCATGTTCAGGATCAGAACCATTAAAATATCCTCATTAGACCTTGAAAGAATGTGTGACCAATTCAACAACCAGAGGATCTTTCTTTTCCTATGACAGTCCCAAGAACTTGATGCAAATTCAGCCTTCCAGCGAGAGCCCATTGCCCTCGTGGAGTCTGACACTGTTGTGGATGCATTCTGCGGGCCGTCTTTCTGTAGACTAGCATGAACTCCTGGCTCTGTTTTGGCTCTAACTAACAAACCACCCAACCTGTACCAAATAAGTAGAGAGAAAATCTGAAAAAGTGGCTTCCGCCTGGTCTGGGTGGAACATTCCACTCACATGGATATGGTTTTAATCCAGTCACAGAACACATTTCTCTCTTCTTTCATCCATGTTTCAGTGTGTAAGACATGGTTTATTTAGTTTAATAAGTTAAGTATGCATGGGATCACTCCTGTCGTAGACATTGGTCCAGTTATGCCTTTTCTGGTAGATTCTATGAGTTGTACAAGACTGGTTATTTAAAAAAAAATGGCTGCTAATTACTTCAGCAGCAAATGTAAGAGCAGGGGTTGTTAAAATGCCATTAAGAGATTGTCCACAGCAAGATGGAGCCGCAGTCACGAGCACAGTCAGGACTTGGAGTCCAGTCCTGACCCTACTACACAACTGTTGAACTTTGAACAGCACTCTGTGCTTCTCTGTTTTCTTCACCCATATGAATGATACCAAGATCCCACGCTTATTACGAGAATTAAATGAAATGATACTTAGCACAGATCCTAGCATATAAGACATGCTCAGTAATTATCAGCTACTGTAATTCAATAAACTGATTTTGATCTCTCTTGGCCTCAATTACCTAAATTTACATTCATGCTTGAAAATCTAACTTTTCATGAAGACTAGAAAGCAGCCCACATCTAAGAGCTGTGCTTCTGTAAAAGTGATTCCAACATAAAGGTCCCAGAAATACAAGTGCTCATTTATAAATACTTTCTAGCCAAGTATCTGATCTTTTGCTTTTATGAAGCAAAAGGGATTATTTTTTGCCCCCCTTGGGATCTAAGACTAGAGAATACGTGCTTTCAATCAAAAGTTTTAAGTCTGACAAAGTAAGCAAGGAAAAGCAAAGATCAAGCATGCCCCAGAAGATTCCTGCCTGCAAGCCGTCCTTTCCCACTGCGCTCAGGGACCTCATTTTTCAGCTACAGATTTAGCTGAAAAGGTGGGGGGAGAGGAAGAATGGATGGAATTTGTTTTATTATTGTAATTGAGAGATGATATTAAACTGAAAATTAAAGAGCTTGAGAGTTAAGTTAGTTTCTATACATTCTAAATCACTGAGAGACATGATTCAGTCAGTAAGACAGAACACAGCTGTTTGCTAGTGAGGTTTGTTTGTTTTCCAGCTCCAAGGGCAAATAAGGAGCCACTGGAAAGAGAAATTGGGGCACCTAGATTCCGGTGCCATCTATTACTTAGCTCTGTGACTACAGACTTGTCTTCAAATTCCCTAGAGGAAGGTGCTTACTCTTGGTTCCTTGCGTGCCAATGTGGCCTCACACTAAGCCAGAGTGATCTCCTTTAAAATATAAATTGCCCCCAGTGTAAGTCTCTCAATAGCTGCCACTCCTCAGTGGATGAAGACAGAAGTCTGAGCAGGGGCTGCAGGGCTTGAAATGGTCTGGCTCTTGGCTTGCCTCTGCAGCTCCAGCTCAAAGCCATGCTCCCTCTGGCCCGGTTGCAGGTTGCACTTTCCTACTTTCCTATTTGTGGCATGCTCCTTACCACAGGTCCTTTGCACATGTTTCTCCCTCCCAATAGAAGGCTGCCCTCTCTTCCACTTGCCTAGTTCATTACTAGTCAATTCTCAGGTTTCAGCTCAGTATTTACTTCTGTTTCCAATACTCCTGTCATTAAACTTATTAACTCTAGACAATTCTATTTCCACAAGTCTATGATTAGAGGGGAAGGATGATCACTACTCCATTTGGCAGTAGCTAGGGTGGCTGAAAGGACCTGTTTCTGAGATGGTTCCATGACGTGGATGGCAGGATTTCACAGGCTGTGAGCTATGAGCCTGGTGCCCCTCACTGTGGAGCCCTCTGTGGGCTGACAGCTTCCTCACAGCATGGATACTAACAGTGAGTATCCCAGGTCACCCCCTCCCAAAGCCTGCCATGGCATCACTCTGTCACGTTCTATTTAGTTAACCTCCCACAGAACCAAGATCCAAAGGAAAGAGGATTTATAGCCACCTCTTGTTTGGAGGGGTAGCAGAGAGTTGGGGTGACATGCTTTGTAACTGTCACAACTCTCTCGGGATTACAGTGGCTGTCACTGTGCACACCAGTCCCCAGTATGTGCTTGGTTACCCATCTTCCCACTAGACTCTAAGCCTGAGAAGAAGGGCTGGATCCGCCTCCTCCATTGCTATGTCTGCTGCCCCTGTTCAGACACATTCAATAGCTACCAGTAGAAGTGGATGAAGCAGAGAACCCATCAATGATCCTGTGAGGAAAGTACTTAAAACAGGGGTCTTAAACAAATAGGCCTTCAAGGGAGCAGGTGCATGGGAAGCCAGGGGTGCTCCAGCAAAGCAGGCAGCTTGCTGGTTCTCAGTAGGAACATGGACCCAGAGTGAACAGAACGTTCAAGGTCTTCAGAACCAAAGGTTTACAGTTTTTATATGGTATTTCCCAAATGTAAAATATGGATAACTGATTCAGTTAAATACATACACACACAGAGTAGTCTAATTAAAACACATCTGAGGGGTGAATTGTTATGAGAAAAAAAAATGCCTGTGATGCTGGCATGTTTGAAAAAAAACATTTTCCATAACTGAATTAACTCGCTCCATGAGTGCGGAGGAAAATCACTGAAATGTGAGTTCTACTGCCCTTCCTAGAATGTGGGCAATGTGATGGTTCATAGCTAATCTTGTGATGGTTAACCTTGACTATCAACTTAACTGAATCAAGAAACCCCTTAGGAGATCAGTAAAGCACATCTCTGGGTATGTCTGAGAGAATATTTCCAGAAAGAATCATCAAAAGAGGGATGGCCTTCCTTAAACATGGGGAGCAGGGTCCTACAGGCTGGAGGCCCAGATCATCTAAAAGGGGGAGAAGGAGAACACCAACTAGCCCCAGCATTCTATGTCTCTCTGTATTCCCCGCCTCCACCCCCTTCTCTCTCCTTCCTAAACTCCATGAACTGAGCTATTCTACTGTGACCTCCCCACCATGATGTACTGAAACTCTGAGCCAAAATAAGTCCTCTCTTTCCTGAGTTGTTTCTCATACGTACTTTGTCACGACAATGAAAAACTAACACAAGGCCGAGTGTGGTGGCACACACCTTTAATCCCGGCACTTGGGAGGCGGAGGCAGGCAGATCTCTTTTGAGTTCAAGGCCAGCTGGGGCTGGTCTACAAAGTGAGATCTAGGTCAGGTGGAGCTACAGGGAGACCCTGTCTCAAAAAGACCAAAAGAAAAGAAAAAGAAAGAAAAAAAAAAACTAACACAAAAATATTTGTCTGATTCTTTAAGAAAACATTTCCAACCCCTTGTATAGTGCCTTAGTGAACCACAGACTTTACCTACTTATTTATTCTGTTGGCTCCTTCGGTAGGGAGGGATTTTTTTCTTTGTTTGTTTTCTGATGTGCTGTGTTCATGAATTACATCTAGAACTCTCATCCTGGGAGCTGGAATAATTGTCGGGCACACATTAACTACACAGTAACAAGCACCAAAGAAATTCTGATGTAGGTATGGCTTCTCATTCACTCCACTCCTCTCCTTCTGCTCTTCCCTCAGCACCTATGATGAAGAGAAGCTGGGGACTTGCATCATGTTCCAACCGTTCACTCCTGTCCACAGCTGCATCATTTCTACCTCACTGCCTGAGGCGCACATGTAAGCAGCCCTACTTCTGGTTCTAAGAAATGGGAAGCAAGCTAAAAGGACTCACTGAGTTAAGACACCAGGAGCTGTTGAGCTGTTTCTTTGTCCTCTTGAGCAGGACATGGAGCCTGGAACCAGTAAAACTCTTTAGTGCCTTAAAGATATCAGAAAGTAGACAGGGTGGTTTAAACCTCAGCAGCAAATCAGCTGGGAGCTGAGTCATCCCATCCCTTACCAAGCCAGATACTCAAATGTCAAATAATTTGCAAAGCTTGATAAAAATCTGTCTAGAATTCTCTCTGTAAAGCTTTTCTAAGAATATCTCAACTGAAGCTCAGGGGATACAATGGTGGTGGTGGAGGGGTGTTTCCGAAGACCTCGGAAACTGTTTTCCAGGATAGCTTCTGTGGTCCAATGCCTAAAGGCATAACTTCCTCATCACATGGTACCCAGAGGCCAACCAAGCTTCCAAAGAACATACTTGCTTTTTTAAACTTTGACATCTCATTCCTCTTGTGTCTGTTCTGAAGAATTACAGCCCAGCCTTCCTTTTTTCCTAGTTAGCACTTTTCAACTGGAAACATAGGCATGGAGTAAGCTTTTGACCTCAGAGCTGAGTTTCTCAGCCTCAGCACTATTGGCATTTGGGGACCGATAAGTCTTTGTCATGAAAGGTTGTCCTGTGTACAGTTGGATGTTTAAAAGCAGCTTCCACGGCCTCTGCCCACCAAATGTCAATAGCTCTCCTCACCCTGCAAAGAGATGGCAACCAAAAATTTCTGTAGACATTGACACATGTCCCCTCAGTCCAAAATCACACAGTTCCTTCAGCCTCACATGGAAAACCACTGTCTGAGGATAAGGAGTTCACTTTAAACAGTGGTACAATGGGTTCTGGACACCTCTACTTGTTTGACCAACATTTATTAGGCTCCCAGTGTTTGCAGTAATAATTGTCATACTGACCCTTCTCCAGGCTTTGTCTCCATTCAACCCTCTAAATAGCCCTATTGTATACGTATATTATTTGCCCCCTCTGCAGAAAAGGAAACAGAAGCTCAAAGAGTTGAACCTACCTTCTTTTGGTCATATAACTGCATGCCACCCTACTGGGGCTTTAACCAAGGTCTATCTGTCATCACAGCCCAAGTTCTCAACACCTCACACTATATAAAAAGTATACCCCAAGATCATGCATTTGGGGAGTTCATGGCACAGTTGGAAAGCCAAGTCTCCTTCACACAAAGAATAACATAACCCAGGGGTAAAATCACAGGGCTAAATGTTAGATAAAGATTATTAGTAAGAGCACTTAGTTCATGAGTGAAAAAAGCCAGTGGTTACCAACCCTATCATCATCATCATCATCACCATCATCCATCATCATCATTATCATCAACAGCACATACTGGACACATCCTCATCCTTTTCTAATAGTCCAGGCTACGATTAGCCCCACTTTGTCCCGCTGGCCTCCTACTCACTTTTGATTGGCATTATCATTTGTTTCTTGATAGATCTATTCCTACTAGCAGCCTAAGGTTGATGCTCCTAAAACATCTCCTTGGAAAATAGACCATGTAATTTCTCACAGTATCCCTTGGAAGCACTTGCCCTTCTCCCTGCCTCTCCCATTAACAAGCCCTCTGGAACCAAACTGCATCAGAATCTCCTGGGGATGGAGTGGGGGACATCTAGCAAAATGCATGTTTCTGGGTCACATTGCCCATTCATTTGACCTGAACACCATGATGCGTAGACACAGTGAGCCTTAAGTCAGCTATTACATGAACAGAGATAGCTTCCTTCAATGCCAAATGGGGGTGGGGGGAGAAACCCAGAGGAAGACAGACTATGCTGAAGGTCTACAGTAGGAACCCTGACTCCCTGGCTCCTATGTCAGCTGTGTTAGATAGACCATTGTTATCATTACCACAGTGGGTGTTGTTATAGAACTATATTTACTGTTACTGTATGAAGTATCTAGTAAATGTCATAGGTTTTTGCAGACCAGATGATCTCTTTTGTAACTATTTTGGCATGTACTATGAAAGATACAAGAATGGATTGTATTGACTGTGTCCCAACAAGGCTTTGTTTATAAGAATAAGTGATAAGCCCATTCCTTAGGTATTTTACCAGCCTTTTCCCTAGACTATAGATGACCTTTTCTTTCCTTTAGCTGTTGAAAGGCTTTGGTCACATTGGATGGCTAGAGCAGTACACTTCCTTGTTGTTTCGAAGTCCACACATCGGCAGTTGATCCCTCTGGTCCAAGCCAGTTAATCTGCTGAGTTCGTTTCAGTACTTATATGCAGTGTGAGCTGGAGGTTGGCTGGTCCTGGCTGTGTCTTTTGACTGATTGAACATTTGGTGTACTAGTGTCTCTCCACATCTAGTACATCTTGTTCTTGAACAAGCCAAAACACTGAAGGCTTCCGGAGGCAAAGGCTCAGAAAGGACAGAGTAAACACAGTGGCCCTTCTGCCATTTTCTGTTGGCCAAGCCAGTCAGCAGATCAGCACAGAGACAAGAGTGAGGGAAAGACTCCACCTCTTGATAAGATGAGGAAGCAAAGTCAAACTACAGAGTGCACAAGGCAGAGAGGGGCGAGGAATTGGGGCATTTGTGTAATCAGCTGTGTTAGTCATTTTTGCCACTGTGACAGACAACCTGACAAGAACATAAGGGGATGGTGAGATGGCTCAGTGAGTAAAGGTGCTTGCCACCAAGCCTAGAAAACTTAAGTTTGATCCCTAGGACCCACATGGTGGAAGGAAATAACCAGCTCCCAAAAGTTTCCCTCTGACACTTGGCACAGACAAGTACATACACACATAAACACACACACACACACACATAATTTTTTTAAAAAGACATACACAAGGAAATAAAATAATGTAATGTAGGAAGGAATTATTCAGCATGGCAGCAGGCAGATCCGTGACAACAGGAGAAAGGCAGCTCACTTGCATCTTGGTAGATCAGGAAGCAAAGAACCCAGGCTGTGCCTGGCCAAGTTATAACTCATAAGGCCTACCCCCTACGGCTCTAAGTCTGCCAGAAAGGCCCACATTCCAAAGGTTTCACAACACCACCAAAGAATAGCACCACCTAGGGACCACAGAGCCTGTGAATGTGAATTGCACATTCAAACCAAAGTATTAGTCTACCAAAAAGGCATCAGGCAGACCCTGCTGGTCAGTTTTTAAACTCTCAGTCATCACATCAGCCAATGTGGATCAGCCCCTCCAATTCCATCACAATTGATCCTGAAGCTGGCTGATGATCCCAAATTGACTGTGTGGAGATCAATCCCATTCTATCAGGGGGGATTTGACTTTATCTTTAAGAACAGTAGGAAGTGGTCTATAGGAATATGACACCGACTCCTGCCTCTTCTTTAAGATGGCAAAGTTGTCCCTGGAAGTCTTTTCTAAGTACCCATTCAATGAAGCATGCCCGCAGCCTGTATCCAGATCTGCCTTTGGCCACTGGCACTATATGGCTGGAATGGCTTTGTACACATCATCTGACAGCTTGCAAAAGGAAACTGTGCTGTTTGTTCCCCACAGATGTTCATACCCACTGAGTTCTGGCTTGTACAGCAGCTTCAACAGGGCCGGTCACTGAGGTGTGCAAACCTCTGAGTCTGGGCACTGCAGAAGTGAGCTTTGTGCAAATAAATGCCTTCTCTTTAAAACTGAGGTATTGCTCTGTACCTGGAACTTGATCATAGTGAGAAAGGACCCATTTCTATGCATCAGGCTTCCTGCCTTGTTTGATTTTTGCAATGTTTGTTTCCTGTTTGTTTCACTATTTATTTGATGAATTATTAGAGTTTGAGACTTTTTATCCACAGAGCAAAAGACCTAGATACATCAGATAAACTCTTTCTGTCTCTACCTTGTCTCAGGGGACAGCATCAACAGTATAGTATACAGCAGGAATTTGGGACAGAGGACTCAGAGTCCAACTCCGACATTTACTGGCTATTTTGATTTTAGATAAGTTTCGTGGCCCTTATGCCTCAGTTTTCTGATTTGAAAAATAAGGATGCTAGCGGTGCCCTCATGTTGAACAATCAAAGCAGTGCTCTGGGGTGTATTTACTGTTATTATTTGGGTGGTGTTGTCCATATATTATCTCTTATTGGATCTTCACATGAGAATTGCACTCCAAGTTATCAGTTCAGGAAAATGTTAGATCCTAAGCAACTAATTCCAACCATCATCCATAAGCAGAAAAATGTTGAGCCCACCTGTGCCTGGTGCAGGAAGCCATTGGTTGTACATAGCTCTGTAGCCTGCAGGTCCACAAACTGGAGGGGCAAGTAAACAGGTAATGTGACAGAGGAGAGACCTGAGGTATGGAGACAGGGGGACACGTTGTAGGGATGGTGATGTTTCAGAATGTTTGGACAGAGCTTAAACCAGGCCTAGAACCATCAAAGAGGGCTTCCTAATGAGCTTAAACAAAGGACGTTTATTGTCCCATCATTTTGGGGTTTGGAAGTCCAATATCAAGGTGCTGCTGGGGTTGGATTCTCCTGAGGCCTCTCTCCTTGGCTGCAGATGGCCACCTTCTCTGTTACCTTACATTCCTCTTTCTGTGTGAAGCCTTCGATTCTGTGTGTTCCTATTCCCCTTCCCTTAGGGACTCTGGTCAGACTGGATCACACACCTTTTCAAACAGCTTCATTTTAAATTAATTGCCTCTTTTAAGGCTGTACCTCCAAATATCATCACACTCAGAGGTATTGGGGTTACAGTTTCAAAATAAGAATTTGGGGGATTGGAGAATAGAAAGGTGGCTCAGCAGTTAAGAGCACTGACTGCTCTTCCAGAGGACCTGGGTTTGGTTCCTAGCATCCACGTGGTAGCTAAGAACCATTCTTAACTCCAGTTCCAGGGGACCCGACATCCTCTTCTGGCCTCCACCAACACCAGACATGCACACAATACACTTATGTACATCCAGGTAAAACACTCTTACACATAAAAATAAAATATTTTAAAGAAGAATTGAGGGGTTCACAGTTAAGCCCATAATAAATGGTTCAGGGAGTTTAAAGATGTTAATGAGAAAAGAGAGGGAAAGCTATAACTTGTTCTTGGCACCTGCAGAAATAAATCACTAGGATTAGGGTGATGAGGATCGAGAAAAAAAGATGAATACGGGATCCTATATAGGAAGGATGAATACAGGACCCTACATAGGAAGGATGAATATGGGACCCTATATAGGAAGGATGAATACGGGATCCTATATAGGAAGGATGAATATAGGATCCTATATAGGAAGGATGAATACGGGATCCTATATAGGAAGGAAGAATACGGGATCCTATATAGGAAGGATGAATATGGGATCCTATATAGGAAGGATGAATACAGGATCCTATATAGGAAGGAAGAATATGGGATCTTATATAGGAAGGAAGAATACGGGATCCTATATAGGAAGGATGAATACGGGATCCTATATAGGAAGGAAGAATACAGATCTTATATAGGAAGGAAGAATATGGGATCCTATATAGGAAGGAAGAATACAGATCCTATATAGGAAGGAAGAATACAGGATCCTATATAGGAAGGAAGAATATGGGATCCTATATAGGAAGGATGAATATGGGATCCTATATAGGAAGGAAGAATACGGATCCTATATAGGAAGGAAGAAAAGGATGGAGGAATAGAGAGAAGGATGAACAGAGGGCGTGATGGAGGGAGGGATGAAGAGATGGGTAGGGAAAGAGATAAAGAGGGAGGGAAAGAGGGATTGAAGGCAGGAGGGAGGGAAGAAGGAATGAATCTGATGTTCACCTGTGAACAAACATACTCCATCTTCTCCACTAACTCCTTTGGTTTGCTTCCTACTCCACAACTACTCATTCCATAGTCCAGACCTGTAGGGTCCCCTGACCTGGAATTTTGCTACTTGCTAGAGTTACAGTGAGGAGGGGAATCAAGAGGTTTACGGCCATTACAGGCACATGACACATGGAAATTATTGTCCATGGGCACAGTCCATGTGCCCAGTGCTACCAACCCATCCTGTCACCTGTGACAGGGCCCAGGATGATTGATTCTAGGGGGGAAGAAACAGGAAAACTGGGGTGGCCATAGACTCTTTAAATTAGAAATGAGGGAAGAGCAAGCAGTGCTTGGTGAATGATTTGTACAGGGAAATTCTTTTTCTTTTCTCCAGAGAAGAGGGAGAGAGACAGAGACCGAGACAGAGAGCCTAGTTGTGCTCAGACATGGTCGTTACAGCCTCCCCAACAACAGAAGCTAAGAAGGAGGAGGAGTGGGACAGCTCTGTTCCATGCCGAGTGAATGGACAGACAGCCTTCAGGGGAAACCCTGGATCCGCTCCACCCAGGGCATGGACCCCATCCTCTAAGGCGAGGCTTTCCTGGAAATAGAGAGCAATGATTCATTCCTGCTCCTGGGAGCACTGGGCCTGGGAACCCTGGGGAGCGTGGGTCTGGGCAGAATGCAGTTTCAGGAAAAGCAATTACAAAACTTGATAATGGAGGCCTCTATTAGTGTAAGACAAGAAATCTTGGGCGGGGGGAGCGTAGCTTCCAGAACTGTACCTTGTTTCCAGGAAAACCACAGGCAGTGGCTTAACTCTCTCCTGACTCCACTCATTCGCATAGTGACTACTGCATTGGCTTCATTGGTGCCTCGTCAGAGCTCAGGCCCATAGGTCCCCAGCTCAAATCGTCACTGACCCCAGCTGTGTGACCTCAGGTAACTCAGTGTACCACTTTGAGCCTCAGGTCCCTCCTCAGGTACAGTTTTCTCCTTATAGTCTTCTTGTGAGTATTAAATCAAGCATTCAGATATCATCACTGCTCATAAATGAGGTATGTGATTTTGAGTCAAATGATTGTACCTCTTTGGACCTCAGTCTCCCCTTCTCTAAAATGTAGAGAGTGGTTTGTACTCCTCAAGTTCATTAGGAGCATTCAATAATGTGCAGGAAGTCCACTAGTCAATACCTGGTTGATTGCAGGTGTTTAATGTAAGGTGTCCAAAAATCAGAAAATATAGATTAGACATATTGTTAAACAGTATTTTAGTTGTATTTTCAAATAATATGATCAATGTGCTTTTCTTCAGTGTCTAGTCAGGTTTATATGCGAAGAACTTACACATTGAAAGTAATGGGTCTATTGGCTAATCCCATAAAAAAGAAAAGTACAGTTAATATCACCATCCCTGTTTCCAGATTTCTTTGTATACTTGGGCTATTTATCACATTTTTATCAGATAAACAACTGGACATCAGTGAGATATTAGTCTCCTTTGATTCAGTTCTCATTTTGTATGTCATGACCTCCAGCTAGAAGACTCTACCCCCTACACACAAACTCACAGGAGCTAGGATAAGATGGATAGGATGGTCTTGCTTCCATCATGACTCTGCCACCTGGTAGCCCAGTAGCATGGCTAGTGTGACCTTCCTAACCCTTCTGACCTTCAGAGTCCTCATCTGCACCATGGGACTAGTGGATTCCTCATAAGCAAGGGCCAATGAGAGCATGTGTGCAAAATGCATGCACATGTCTGAGCAGAGTACCAGTTCGCTAATTAGAGCCAGCACAGCTATGCACTCTGTGGGTATCATTGTGAAGAATGCTGTTTTAACAATGTTCCCTCCATCTGTCTCTGCAGTGATCCCCTCTACCGTCAGCTCTGTGCACTCCACTGGCTTCTAGAGGCCCTGACCATCGACCACACCCACCATACCATGAGGCCCGTGATCGCCTGCTGGAATCCCAAGTAAGACCCCAGCAGCCCTTCATCCTACCATAAACTAGCACTCATCCGGGAAGTGGAGAAGAGAATCTTATCCTTCTCCTGACTCCTCTAGGTGTGTGTGTGTGTGTGCGTGTGTGTGTGTGTGTGTGTGTGACTTGCTTAGGAGTTCTGCATGTTCTATGGATTCAAACCCAGGTGAGCTGGAGCTAGCTCCTACAGACCCATGACAGCCTGTCCTGTGCACTTCCTTACAAGTCTCTCTGCCTGATGCCATATATGCTGTCACATTGATAGCTTAAAATCAACTCACAATGGGGAACGTACAGGACAGGAATAGGCAAGTTGCACCAGCATGCTGTGGCCCCACAGCCAGAGTTCTCTCTTCTTGTACTGTGTCTCCCTCACACTATTTCCTGGTTGCTCCTCCTCCTCTGTCTCCTTCTCCTTGCTTTTGTTCTTCCTCATTCTTGTGTTCTCTTTTACCTCAAGGGAATTTTAGTTGTTTGGTTGGTTGATTGGTTGGGTGGGTAGGTGGTTGCATGGGATTGGATAACTGGTTGGTTGGTTAGTTAGATGGGTTAGTTGGTTGGTTAGTGTGGTTGGCTGATTGACTGGGTTGATCCATCAAATTGGTTGGTTGGTTGGTTGGTTGGTTGGTTGGTTGGTTGGTTCATGGGTTGGCTGATTTGTTGAGTAGTTGATATGTTCATTGGTTGGTTTGATTGAATACTTAGTTGACTAATTGGTTTGATTTCACCCTGTTGGGGTTTTTATATAAATATTGAAGGTATGTCTCCACTTCATTCCAAGAGACTACTTGTTCAAGGCCCTGGAGCAGTTGGGTTTACCTAGGCAGAAACTACAGAGTATATTGACTAAGGCAAGAAAAATGTGAAGTATGTCACTGCCAGAGGAAAGACTCATGCAAAAGCTTTGAGGTCATTTCTCCCATATCCACCATCTCAGTTATTTCCAAAATGTTTTTGTAGGTTCCCAGAATTTGTTCAAAACCCATGGCCTTAATAACATTTCCCAGGGCTGGGGAGATGGCTCTGTGGGTAAAGTGCTTGCTGCACAAGCATGAGGACTTGAGTACAAATTCCCAACACCTGTATAAAACACCATGTATGGTGGTATATGCTTATAATGCCAGTGTCGGACAATAGAGATAGGTAGATTCCAGGGGTTCACTGGCCAGCACCCAGCCAGAATGATGTCTCAAAAAACAAGGTAGAAGCCAGATGCAGTGGTACATACCACTAATTCCAGCACTCAGGAGGTGGAGGCAGGCAGATATCTGTCCGTTCAAGATCAGCCTGGTCTACATAGCAAGTCCAAAGCTAGCCAGAGTTACACAGTTGGGACTGTGCCTCAAAAAAATTATGTGGAAAGGAATAGAAGAAAACATTCCAATGTCAACCTTTGGAGTCTACATGCAGCCACACTGATGTGTGCACCTGAACACACACATGTGCACAATACACATACACATACACCTCACACACAAAACACACAAGCAATACACACAAACATTACATACACCTGCACACCACACACAAACTTGAAACACACATACACATACACCATACACAGTCTCATACATATAAATATCTTCTAATTTAAAAAACATTTCCCATGCATCATTTATTTTTCTTTAAAACAAAACTGCCCAGGTTACAAATGATTACAATTTACTTTCATGGAAAAATTTCCAAATCTTCATCCTGGAAATCTCTTCCTTAAAGAAAATACTTTTTTAAAGGTGTAAAGTGTGCAATTCCAAGTCTTCTTGATACTTTTCTCTGATAAATATTTACAAACATACGTATTTCCAACAGAAACAGCATCAGCCTCTGCATATGATTGTCTCTGAGATCTACCCCCTTGGATAGTGACTTATGGGCATCTTTCCACGGTGGTACATACAAAGTTTCCAATCTTTTAATACCAAAAAGACTACACAGCAGGACATTGTACTGAGCAGATGGCACAGTGTTCAGATCATCATGTCTCTATTGACAGACACTGAGGCAGCTCTCAAATTCTTAGCATTTCAAGTAGTGCTTCACCAAACATCCCCATACATCTCTTTCATACCCAATTGCAAATATTTCTTTTGACTGGGTTCTAAGAAATTGGAGTTTCTAGGTCAAGGTAACATGTAATGTTTTTCACAGATCGCTTACATTTAAAAAAAAAAAAAAAAAAAAGACCCCGAGCCCACAGATTTCTAATAATATTTCGTCTCCCCAAGAAAGTCACCGGGGGCAACATTTTCCTCTGGACATTCATCTTCCCACACTGAAGAAAGAATATTGCATAAGATTTGGATTGAAAAGAGATGAAGGACTATCTGGAATTCTTTCAGTTGCTTTCAAAATGTGCTCAGAACAGAGCACAATCTGTTAACTGCAATAAAAAGATGTAGTGGTCACATTGAGCCCTATTTTACCAGGACTCCTAAGAGCAGATTTTACTGAGGATCTGAGAGTGTCCAGCTTCCTACAAACAGAACCAGAACCAGACCTGGCCAGCTGGAGGAAAATGCAGTCCAAGAAGACATCTACTGAGGGTGGTGTGTTTGCTAGAGTTTATTCTGGTGGAGCTTTTTTGGAGCTTTTTCTCCTGATGGGGATTTTTAGCTTGGAGTCATAGACATGCTGGGAAATGTTTCATTACCAGCTCTTGGAGGCTGCAGTCATGACTTGTAACAATGCCAGTTTCCTTGGTGTAAATATGTGGACAGCCCACCACGGCTGATTATAGGCTCACAAGAATGATGAACCTCAACTTGGAATTGGGACGTGATGAAAATCCATCGTTGTTGTGTTGGTTTTTTCTGGTCTTGTTGCTCTTTTTTAAATTTAATTTTGTAATTTTTGTGGATTTCATAAGAAATCCATCTCCAATGGAACCTACCTACCAACTAACTCCCCACTCAATTTCATATATAAAGGCCTGTACAGTCAGGCTTGTGTTCCTAAATGCCCTGTGGAGCCTGGCCAATCTACTAAGAGTCTCACCCTTAAATGAGACTGAATCTCACCTTCCCCACAGTCATCAGTTGCCAGTAGTTCCTCAGATAGGGTTGGGGTTTCTTGCCCACTTCCCCTTTCTACGCTGTGATATTTTTCTGGATTGAGCACATGGACCTTGTCCATGCTGACAGCATTGCTGTGAGTTCATATGAGTAACTGACCAGCTGTCTGGAAAGCTCTGTTCTGGTCATCTGCCTCCTCTGACTCTTACACTCTTTCCACCCCTATATCCCAAAGAGTCTCTGAGCTTTGAGAGGCATAAGTTTGATACAGGCGTCCTATTCTGGGATAAGCAGCCTGCAGCCTCTTATTCTCTGCACATTGGCCAGTTGTGGTTCTCTGTGTTAATCACCATCTGCTGTGTAAGGAATCTTCTTTGCTGAGAATTGAGAGATGCATTAATCTATGGGTATAACAATGAGTCATTAGAAATAAGTTTAATACTATATCTATTTTTTAATATTGTATTTATTATTTTCATTTATTTATTATTTCATTATTTATGTGCATGAGTGTATTGCCTGCATGTATGCAAGAGCACCCATGTTGTGCAATGCCTGCAGAGGTCAGAAGAGGGCATCTGATCCCCTGGAACTGGAGTTACAGATGGCTGTTAGCTGCCATGTGGGTACTGGGATTCAAACCTGGGTCCTCTGCAAGAGCAGCCAGTGCTTTTAACCACTGAGTCATCTCTCTAGCCCCAATACTAAATCTATTTAGCAGAATAATTGTATTAAGCTTTTTCTCATGGCCTGTGGGCTGTCTAGCCTCAGGCTTCTAGGCCTGATATCTATGTCAGGTGTGGGTTCCAGCCTACAGGGCAAACTTTATGTCCAATTAGAAAATAGTTGGTTACTCCTGCAATATCTGTGCTACTGTTGCACCAGTAGGTATATCTTCCAGGTCAGCTTTTGTAGCTCACAGCTGGGTAAGGCTCATGCTAAATTTTTTCTTCAGATAGCTTACATAGCACCTTTCGGCATTATGAAAGCTAGACAGTAGAGATGAGGCTTTGAAGTCAGCAACAGCTTGATTTCTCCTTGTTTGTTCTCCAGTTCATGTATGTAGTGACTTCAGTAATAGGGTCATTCTGTGAAGGTCTGCTGAGTAACCAAGAGCAGGAGCAATGGTCAGTATTGTTTGAGGGTCACCTACCTGGTGGATAGCTTCAAAAGAAGGAGTCCGTTCCTGGCACTGGGTTTTTACTTGTAAGCCTATGGTGTCTAGTAGGAGCAATGTTCCCCTGTTATAAGGCAACTCCAAAATCAGTAGCCTTCCTATAAACCACCAACAAACATACCAAGAAAGAAAAACCAAGGAAGTGAAGGACTTGTATAATAAAAACTTTAAGACATTAAAGAAAGAAATTAAAGAAGGTATCAGATGGTGGAAAGACCTCCCATGATCATGGATTGGAAGGATTAATATTGTGAAAATGATCATCAATTCCAACACAGTTCTTCACAGAAGATGAAAAAAAAGAATCTCAAATTCCATATGGAAGCCCTTACACACACACACACACACACACACACACACACACACACACACACAAAGAGGATAGTAAAAATAACCCTGAACAATAAATGAACTACTGGTAGCATTACCATCCCTGATCTTAAATTATACTACAGAGCTATAGTAATAAAAACAGCATGGTACTAGTATAAAAACAGACATGATGATCAATGGAATAGAATTGAGGACCAAGATTGAAATTCACACATTTATAGCCACTTGATTTTTGACAAAGAAGCCACAAATACACACCAGAGAAAAGATAGCATGTTCAGCAAATGGTGCTGGTCAAACTGGGTAGTTACCTGTGGAAGAAAGAAACTAGATCCCTATCTTTCACCATGCACAAAACTCAACTCCAAATGGATCAAGGATCTCAACGTAAGACTTGATACCCTGAATCAGAGAAGAAAGTAAGGAATATATTGGAATTTATAAGCTCAAGAAAGGACATTCTGAACAGGA